TAGTGGCTGAGCGCGCGGCCCGACGCGTCGACAGAGAGCCAGACAATGACATAATCCCCCCCGCAACACCTGACGAACTAAGACTGACAATACGCAGACTTAAAAACAGAAAAGCCCCCGGACCCGACAATATACATAACACGACACTTAAACGACTACCACACAAGGGCCTCATGGCCCTACTAAACATAACAAACGCGACACTCAGACTAAGACACTTCCCTACCCGCTGGAAAACAGCAAACATAATCCTTATCCCAAAACCCAACAAAGATCACACCATCCCATCCAACTACCGGCCCATTAGCCTGCTCCCGGCTATGAGCAAAGTGGTAGAAAAAATTATCCTAACCCGTCTAAGAACCCACTCCCAAGAACTGCAAGTCATTCCAGACGAGCAGTTCGCCTTCCGACCCAATCACTCCACTGAACTCCAAATCCTTCGCCTTACCGAGCACATCACGGCGGCCTTCAACAGGGGACAGTACACTGGTGCTGTCTTCCTGGACGTCGCAAAGGCCTTCGATACGGTTTGGCATGAAGGCCTACTGATGAAAATGCTCACCAACCAATATCCCATATCCTTTACCAAACTCATAAAATCCTACCTACACCACCGAAAATTCCGCATCCAAATCCAAGATTCCCTTTCCACCACCCGTCCCATGGAGGCCGGTGTCCCCTAGGGCACCGTCCTGTCCCCACACCTATACACCAATCACAACTTCGACATCCCACATCCCCCCAACACCAACATATACTTATACGCCGACGACCTGACAATAACATCCGAATCCGTAGATCCTAGATTTCCACCTCCCTCCTCCAAAACTCCTTAGACCAACTTGAAACCTGGTGCAACAGGTGGAAAGTCAAAATTAATCCCAACAAAAGGTTGGTTATCCTTTTTACCAAACGAAAAATCCCACAAAACCTCGACAGACTGACACTATCCCAGGAACCCATCTCCTGGAATCGACAAACACGATACCTGGGCGTGATGATAGACCAGCGTCTCCGCACATCGTGGAGACGGTGGCGCGAGCGAAGACTACCAGGGCTAGGCTCTATCCGTTACTCAAAGGTGGAAACACCCTCAGTTTAAGGAATAAGCGAACGCTTATCAAGGTGGTACTTCAACCGCAGCTAACCGACGGCTCCACGGCGTGGGGTCACGCGGTAAACAGCCATTTAAAGTCACTACAGGCTGTGGAAAACATAGCCCTCCGCACGGCCACCGACGCGCCCTGGTACGTAAGAAACACTGACATATTACGAGACTTACAAGACACAAACGCTACACAGACAATAAGACAAAACGCGGAGAAACGGTTTGACGTAGCCGCTTGACATGACAATCCCCTCCTCAGGCAAGCCGTTGACTACGTACCCGACGTGACCGACAAACACAAAAGACCTAGATATCAACTTTTTAACCCTGGGTGACCACCCCAACGACATCCCCCCCTGCCCGTCAACCTTTTCGGTTTCAGAGACCGCCAGGATCAAGAAACGAAGACAACGACACACACACACACATACCCCTCCACTACCGCGGTAGCCTAAGGGCCACCTTAGCAAAGCGCATCCCAGGCTGCATAACCGCACTACCCACCCAACCATACCACACATAAACATGACACCACCTCCGGGGTTTATACAGACGAGCCGGCGAAGCAAGAAGAGCGCCAGAAGAAAGGGCCCTAGCCGGCGGGGTCCAGCCAGGACAAAAGGAGGTCCCACAAAGCGCCTACACCGGCCGCATTTGCGGTCGGGGTAGACGACGGATGGGGCCCACCTACGAAGGCTGTCCAGGCCTACACGAGATGAGGCAGGATAAAGAGGGATAATCCCCCTCGATCCCAAATCATTGAGGCCAATTTCTAGCCATGGAATAATGGCGCGCGCGGTTGTAAATTTTCAAATGATCAAATTTGCCTTACTTTTTTAAATTTTGGTTTTATATGTATTTGGTAAGACAACTTTTTATTGCATATTCAGTTGATTTCAATTGTAGTATACAAAAATAGCTGAACCTATTCTTTTTGATTCTACCTTAATACACCATATACATGGATTGAAGTGATTGAACTATTATTTTCATTTGAACTAAATCGAGTGGAATGTTTGAACTAAACTCATAATAAAAATAAAAATAAATTGACATTTTCTTGTTTACTATGGGATCGATCAAAAATTGAATTTAGAAATTATCTTGAAAATATGGCTTATTTTCATTACCGTTGTGGAGAACGAATAACCCTTATAAATGAAAACTGTACTGCTATTAGAAATGAAAGTGAATTTGATCATGGATTAGTAATATCTGCAGAACCACTAGTAAATGATGTGCTATTTGAGATAAAAATTGATAAAAAAGTAAGGAACGTTAATGAAAATATAGATTTTGTGTGTATCTTCTTTAATTTTAGGTAAATTCTTGGTCTGGCAGTCTTGAAATAGGTGTTGTAGATTGCGATCCGCTCCACTTTGACTTTCCACCTTGTGCTTCAAAAATTCAGACAGGATCATGGGTAATTATATTTATTTATTTATTTGTTTTTATTTGGCGTGATATATAAAATTTTCCAGATAATGTCTGGCACATCGGTTTTTAAAAATGGGGTATGTCTTACAGAAGGATACGGAGTAGACCTAGATAAATTGAATCAAGACGACAAAATTGGTTTAATGAGAACTTCTGAAGTAAATTTACAATCTTTAAATATAATTTCAAATTTATTGAAATATTTTTAGGGTGACTTAATTTTTTACATAAATGGTGAATCTCAAGGAGTAGGTGCAGAAGATTTACCTAATGTAGTACATGCAATAGTCGATTTATATGGAAAATGTGTACAAGTCAGCATTACTAGCCCTGCTTATCGAGAACATAATAATGATGACTGTTTAAGTGGAAGTTCAGTTTTGGCTATAGATAATGATATATTGAATGTAACATTAGGAGGAGATTTGAGTGAACTCAGTATGAGTAGTAGTAATAGTTTGGATATCAGGATGGACATGAATGTTAGGTGAGAATGTATTTTTGTAAACAATTATCCCTGTAAAGTATTTTTATAGAAAAAATTATAAATTGGAAACAACTAAGTACCCACTTTTCTGTCAGTTTTTTTATATGAATATCTGTATTAATTAATGATTATCTTCCACTGGTTATTATTCTCTCTCTGTATCTTATACAGGATGTTTTCCACTTCTTGTCATAACTTCAACAGGTTGTTCCTTGGAGCATTTTAGACCTAAAAACCTTAATGAATCTACGCCACTACATTTTGTAATACATTAAAAAATATATTACAAATATTTCTGAAAATTGTTTATGGTTAATAACAGTTTTTGTCTTGACAACTTCTGAAGCAGATAGAAGAAATGTAAACAAGTTGATTTTGTTATGTAAACATATCAAGCTTTTCCAAGATTCAGATTAAAACACATATATTTGAATGAATCTCTGAAACTGAGAGTCCAATTTTTTTAATTTGAAATAAAGTATATATTGCAAAAAAAAAATATGCGTCCGACAAAAACTGCACCGCATTTCCATAAAATTCCGTTCAATTGAAAATTTTTTTTTTCAAATTAAATATTTAATAAATATTCAAAAATTGTTTAAACTGAATAAAGTGTTAAACAGTGAAAAAGAATTAATCAATATTAATCAATATTTTATAAAAATGAGCTCTGAAAAAAAATTCTAAATTTATTTGAATGTACGCGGCAAAAAAAATTATTTGAAATTGGAGTATGAGCAACAGCTTTTGGGCGATCTACCTGAGTAGCAGAGAGAATAGAGATATTTCTGTTATATCTATCTTTCTCACACTCATATGTTTAGACACTTATGTTACAGTTTCGTAAACACATGGGAGCTCATCCTAAAACGTGCTCCAAAATCCAACGGTTTTGTACAACGTGCTCCAAGTTACATGAGGTGTCTAAATCTGATTCGTGCATTTTTCACAGGGTTTTAATTATGCAGTGCTTTTTGTGTAGTGCAGTAAAAGATAATAATTTAAAATTTAAGGGGAAGCAAGAAACTGTTAACCAGTTTAATCCGAAAATTTTGTCGGCCTGTAAAACGTTTTTAGATGCTCGAAAACACCATCGGCATAACTTCAACAACGTGGTTCTACCCAATAGCTGTGATAATAGTATCATTGGCTATCTTTCTAGCTGTTACAAGGATTTTATAGTTAAGAAAAAATATTTGGAATACCTATGTAATATAATGCAAGATAAGTATATCTTAAAATTTCAAATTTGTTATATTTTGATCTTTTACATAAAAACATTAATGTTATACAGGGTGCGTCAGTTTTTTGTAGAAAAACTCTAACAGGAGATAGAACACATGTTTTTAAAAAGAAAAGTTCCTATAAACATATGTCGTAGAAGGCTTCGTTTCTGAGATACAGGGTGTTGAATATAATTATTTTTTCTCGAATTTTCATTATAACTTATAAACGAATGTTTAGATTTTTTCATGCTTGTGAGATAATGCCTATTAATTAAGGGGCATAAAACAAGCGATAAGAATGTTCAAAAACTTGCACAGTGGCGGAGTGGAGGGGGTGCTCAGCCTCTTTCTTAAAGAGAACTTCTACGCCAATGACTATTTTTTTTAAATTTTTTTAAATGTTATTTTCATTATCTCCATACAGTTTAACAAAAATAATATCCCTTCTTCTGTTTCGATATTCCTGTGCGTTTCCGAGTTATTTTGATTTTTAGTGTTTGATGTGGTACTAAATTAAGTAATTTATTTATTATCAATTATCGGCTAATCATTTAATTCTATCAACGAAACCTACCTAAATATGGTCTGTTAAGGATTCTAGAAAGTCGAAATCTCTTATTCTTTATCTCTTTCCAATGTAGTCAAAATAAATATTTGTTATATGAAGCCATACTCAAATACAAGACTTTTATAAACATTACATACATACAATACATTATTGTGCAGTTGCCATAAAGTTTTTAGAAGTTTCTTTAAGTTTTATTAAACTTGTGTATGTACCAATTTCTGTTTCAATTTTCGTTGTTTTTGTACGTATAGTACTGCAACAAAATATTCTACTCCTTGGAAAACAAGTAAGTATTAAATGACATTTTACAACGATAGTTTGACTTATTACAAGTTACATAAATATTAATATCAATGTTCATTCAGTGTTTTTTTTGTAATTTAGTTGCAGTACATTAGTATTTACGCAGCACATAATAAATAAGGATTGTTAAAATTAGTGTATTAAACAGATTTCAACTTATAAAAGTCTTGTATTTGAGTATGGCTTGATATAACAGATATTTATTTTGACTACATTGGAAAGAAATAAATAAGAGATTTCGGCTTTTTAGAATCCTTAACAAACATATTTCGGTAGGTTTCGTTGAAAGAATTAAATATTTAGCCGATAATTGATAATAAATAAATTACTTAATTTAGTACCACATCAAACACTAAAAATCAAAATAACTCGGAAACGCACAGGAATTTCGAAACAGAAGAAGGGACATTATTTTTGTTAAACTGTATGTAGATAATGAAAATAACAATTTTTAAAAAAAATAGTCATTGGCGTAGAAGTTCTGTTTAAGAAAGGGGTTGAGCACCCCCTCCACTCCGCCACTGTGCAAGTTTTTGAACATTCTTATTGCTTGTTTTATGCCCCTTAATTAATAGGCATTATCCCCTTAACATGAAAAAAATCTAAGCATTCGTTTATAAGTTATAAGGAAAATTCGAGAAAAAAAATTATATTCAACACCCTGTATCTCGGAAACGAAGCCCTCTACGACATATGTTTATAGGAACTTTTTGTTTTTAAAAACGTGTTCTATCTCCTGTTAAAGTTTGTCTATAAAAAACTGACTAGCCCTGTATATGATATTTATCTAAATATACAAGGGTGGAAAAAATGTAAAATTTCTTAATATTTTTTTGTTTTCTTGTGGGACTGGCATATTAGCGCTATATATTTTTGTCAGACTTTTCTATTTTTCATTATGAAATAAATTTATCTATCACGGATTACTTTTGTCCGACATCTATGTATAAAGAAACATAATGACGTCATTTTGACATTTTTAGGGCGTCGGACTATGCGTATGCTTCATGATATTTGTCGGACAAGTTTATCACTTTTTTTTAAACAAATTAATTAAACAATTTACGAAAAATGAAACATCTATGTATGAAAAAATATAATAATGTCATTTTGACATTTTGGGGGTGTCGGACAAATAGGAACGCGGCATGGTTTTGTTAGACAAATATTTTTTCAATAGCTTTATTGTAAAAGCTGGAAATTAACATAAAAAAAAATATATGTATGAAAATACATAATAGCATCTAAACGACAACTTCCGGTACCGCTCGTGCGCAAACGCAGTGACGCTGAAAAATATCGAAGAGGAGTATATGTATAATGAAACTGCAAGAACCATGTACTGGGGACTAAATAGTTATTTTAGATAAAACTAGTTTACCATCAAAAAACTTAAACTTTACGAACTATACCTTTTAGAAAAAATAAACAAGGGTACTTTTTTTAGTAAAATATTTGGGGATATTGATAAGAGTTGTTTTTTATTTTAAAAAAGGCATAACATGATTTAAAAATGGATTCTTATACTGGCAGTTAAATTTAAATTTAATAATAAAACAAAAAAAATATTCAAATATGATTTTTTTACACCTAAGTTGATCACCTTGTGTCTCGGAAAAGGTTGTGATCTTACTTACCTTTATATAACAATCTTAACTCCTGTGGCTCCTGCAGTAATCAATATATTGATTGTTACACATTATATTAGGATGTCATAATAAAAAGGTGTTGAAAAACAATGCTATAGACTTTGAAAAGCAGACTACTCCAAAAAAAGTTTATGAATTTGTTTCATATAAAATGTTAAAAATTAAATTAACGGATGGTAAATGAAATTGAGAATTTTAACATTTTTATTTTATGTACATTGCCTCAGTTAAAACTAAAATTTTCTACATTTGAAGAAAAGCAGATTTTTTTAAAAAAGAATGATTTTTGTGAAAGTGAAAAATAAAAAATTAATTTAATTAATTAATTGAAAGTGACAATTACTAGCAAAAAACAGTTGCGCTTATTTTAAATTTAAATAAAGAATAACTCAGAGGCTTGAAGAAAATCTTTTTTTCCTAGAATCATTAGGAATTAAATGCAAATGTCTATTTTCCAAAACATTCAGTAACATTGAAGTTTCAGGATTGTTACTGCATTTTCCAATATTTTTTTTGCCTATAATTAGTTAGGTTAGGCCACCCTAGAGCAATACATAATAGGTATGTTTCGAGAATTATTTTATCAAAATAAAGGAATCAATCGAAATTTTACATAGAGGATTTTATTATACTACTAATGAATTACAAAATATAATTTTTTCGCAGTAATTAAGAAAAATTTGACGATTGCGCAGCATTTCCCCATTGACATTTTTTAAGCGGTCCACAGTCGAAAATGCAACTCATGCAGTTTTAGGGGTAATGGTACGTGTTACCCGGAATACAAATCTCAAGATCTTTTCTTAATCAAATAAATATTCAAGTTATAATTAGTTTTCTAAACTGCACTTTAGTGATTGTCTACGCTGCCACTGGGCAGCCTAAACTGGGTTACCCGGAATTCACGTGGTAAGCTGTATGAATGATCTGTCAACGTTGCCAGTTGATTTGTTTAAATCTAGTGTTAAGGAGTTACCATTATACAGGGTGTTTTCAAAAGAAGTAGCACAAATGGCACTGGTGAATCTACAGCTAAAAAGAACACGTTTTGCATAAAAATGATCTTAGTAAAATGTTCATCTCTTATGGCTCTTGCACACGGGCGGTATTTTACAGATTGGCATTTATACCGATCGTCAAAATAATTGACAAAATTTTAAATTACACAGTTAAATATATCTTTACACACAAAATCGTTGCCGGCAAGTTTGACGGTCGGCTGCCGATCGGTAAAACGCTCGTGTGTAAGAACCCTTAGGAGATGCAGCCTCAAAGTTTCCAAAAAAATATGGAATAGTTACTGTAATTTGAAAACCAAACAAGGTGTAACAGTCAAATTTTACAGATATTCTACTAATGCATGTGCAACTTCTCAACAATTTTTTGAAAATGTCTGCCCCTTGGAAGGGATTGAAATAAGCATCCCCTAAAGTTATTTGTTGCTACAACTTTTTTGTTTGTCAAAAAATTGAATATTCAAAAATATTGATTAGAATAGCCTGGTTTATTTTAAAACTTCTACCTCTCTTACATTTTTGCTTTAAAACTAACCGTTTATTAAGAAAAAATGAAATTCATTATCATTCGCATTACAACTCCCATGATTACAACTAAGAAATATTTAAGTAGGCGGCCAAGTAGGCGAATGTCATGTTAATTTCTGTCATTAGATTTGTATGCCTCTATTGGTACAAACTTTATGTTGTGGCACAGTTTTTCTGATATTCAAAAAATACTTGCAACATGTTAGCATATTCATCATTTGTAAAACTATTTGCCATAATTTTTCCTAAGTTATCACAAAAGAAATAAAATTATTGAGTGGTAAATCCAAGGAGGCACTTGCAAAAGTCACAAAAGATCTTTTTATTAGCATGACAGCTGCCTACTTACATATTTCTTAGTTGCAATCGTGTGAGTTGTAATGCGAATGATAATGAATTTAATTTTTTCTTAATAAACGGTTAGTTTTAAAGCAAAAAAGTAAGAGAGGTAAAAGTTTTAAAATAAACCGGGTTATCTGACCCGTATTTTTGAATATTCAATTTTTATCAAACAAAAAAGTTGTAGCAAAAAATAGCCTAGGGGATGCTTATTTGAACCTCTTTTCCAAAAATTGTTGAGAAGTTGCACATGCATTAGTAAAATATCTGTGTAAAATTTGACTATTATACCTTTTTTGGATTTCAAATTACAGCCGCTATTCCATATTTTTTGGAAACTTAGAGAGGCTGTATCTCCTAAGACCTAAGGAGTGAACATATTACTAAGGTCATTTTTATGAGAAATGTGTTCTTTTTAGCTGTTTCTTTTGAAAACACTGCATATCAATATGGACAAAAACATAAAAAAATCTGACTTATTTAAATATTAACTAATAGTGGTATGCGGTGTGCAATACGCTACTTATCGCATCAACTTCGACGTCACCTGTTACGTGAGTGTTGTATAATAATGAAAACGTAATATTGACAGTTGGTAGAAGGAAGCGCAAAAACAAACGCTTAGGTGGGGAATTCTGGAAGGAAGCCAAGATAGTTGAAGTGAGAACAGTGTGGAGATGGGGGCAAGACGATCGGCGGGCAGTGAGGCAAAATAGTGAAAAATCAAAGTGTTTAACCCGTATTAATTAGCAGGTAATTATTCTTTAAGTACTCTGTTGTTAATTGTTCTATGTAATCTTATGATTGTGATGGTTATAGATGTTTAATGATAATAATTCTTTGTATGTTTAGCCGCCATTGCTTTATGCTCAAGGGCATAAGGTAAAATTGTTACAATTATTATTAACGATTGCTCATTATTTATTACATGTTAAAATATATATATTGTCGTGACTGCCCAGATATTGCAATAACCACTCCTTTGTTTCACATTTAACTTGTTTTGTCCTGATCACATTGTTCGAAAAACAAATAATAAAGCATTTCTTGTGCTCACTTTATGTCATACGCATATAAGAGCCTTGTTGAATTTACTAACATTTTCGCCCGTGAGGAATGAATCTGTAAAAAGAATAATTAAAAACAAAAAACGAATTGCTAACACAGATCTTCGGAAATCTCAACTCATAGCTGGATTGCCTCCCGTATGGGACTCCAGTACCTTCCGGCCCTGCCGGCTAACTAACACCAAACCTCTTCAGTTTTACTTGGAAGTGTGTACATATGTCTAATTCGAGTGAGATGACATTTAGTGAGAAATTAAATGAGTCGGGCGTTATTTATCATTAGCAAAGAATCTTAATTTATGCCTTTTGTTATCGGTTGTTTTGTATTTATATTTGGGTAGTTAGAGCAACGATCGTGGGTTTCTCGGGTTTCTCTGTCATGCTCTTTTCCCACAGGAGCTCTAGGTGAGCCTGGCACTCTCATTTTATGTTAAATGGTTGTTACATCTTTAATTTGAAGACTGTTGTACATAAATAATAAAGTTAGGTGTATTTACTCTGCTTTTGTTTGATAAAATTAAAATATACTTCCCCTCTTTAAAGTTAGTAGCCAGCGCCTTCCGGTCAATTAAAAATAGATGTATACAACGTAGGTATTCCTCATGATGATCACATATTTCTGGCCACAACTACGTTTTTTTTTTTCTTTTTTTTTATCCAACCCGGGGTTGTTATACTACAGTGTTAGTAATTGTAAATAAAACTATTTTATTTTTTAAAATAACTATTTTTGCCATTTTAAAAAAACATTTAAAAAAACAAAAAATATAAATAATAATACCAATCTGATTGATATGAAATAATTTTTTGAATTTATTTCAAGTTTTTAAAAATAATTATGGGTTAGTATTTTTTTAAACATTGTTTGTATTTTATTATGTCAATGATTTTAGCTCAACTATATTACCGTCACTGTGTAAAGTAGATATAGGATATAGGTACACATTTAGGAAAATTAAAACAGGTAATATTAAAAAGTTATAAAGTTCTAAATGAAATACAGTAGGTTCTACTCTTTTTTCTTATTCAGCCACTTCAGCAGTCAAGGGGTGTTAGACATATTAAATTAATTCAAAATAAACAAAACAGCACAGAATTAAACTGTGAACAGTTTAAATTTAAGCCGAATCCGATCCTGTTCCCAACACTTATGAAGGTTAGTCTCTTAACCTCTGCCATTTAGTTAATGTCACATTGCCACTACTGCCAGTTACCTTCTCACTTTGTATGATATGACAATGGTAAACGAGTAGAAAACAAACTGCCATGTTAATTCGGTAAAACGGAAGTGGCCAATTACGTCATCACTGATTTATTCTCTTAATTTTGTTACATTTTTATTTTAATTTTCACTCAGTTCAGTTTACGTGATGTTTGTGAGGTATTTTTGTGTAGTGTACGTGTATACATTACAAAGTTATTTATTTCAGTGTTTAGTGATAATACAGTGGATTTTGTGTATCATATGAAAGAGCATGTATATGAATGAAGACGGTGTTGACATGGTTAGAACCTACTTTTTGTCAGGAGAAAATGATGCTGTTGCAAGAAGGCGATATCAGATGGATTGTTCCAACTAGCCGAAGAAAATGTTTGTTATATTGGTTCTACTTTTAAGAGACTATGGGAGTATTGAACGTCAATATGCTAATGCTGGATGGAAACAAGCTCAGGGATTGAGAAACTTAGAACCAGAAATTTTAAACGCTTTGGAGGAGAATACTGGTACCAATACTTGAAGATTAACTACAAGATTTTAAGTACTGCCATACGCTGTAAAAATCAGGGGAGTAATCAGATTATTTACTTATTTTTGTGTATTTCATTTATCATTACATTGATTACTGCTTCAGTTATTTGTTAATTTACTTGTTATTGTTTCATAGTTTACCTTATTTCAAAGAATTATTAAATCGACAAAAGTAATGCACCAAAGAGTGCACTTCACAGCAGATGGTCCAGAAATTTTGATTTTTAATAAAATTTGCTTTTTAATAACCTCTCCTTTAAATTATGAAATCTGACAATAATGCATACAGCAGTTCCCAAATGCGCATGCATTCTAACTTACGTGTGCCATTGGTTAAGTCGCACTAGCTTGCCTAGTGACGGGGTAGGAAAATTACTAAAAAAAAGTTAAAAAAAATCAATTTTCACAACGAAATTTGAGAAAGCAAACTTATAGTATATGGTTCTAAAAGTGAAAGGCAACTTCTATATGAGTATAACTCACATTCAAAGTTACATTCTGTATATAATAGCAGCTAGAGTCTTATGTAGGATTTTTCCAATATATTGATTCTTGGCAAAATAGTAGTTATGAAAAAAAATAAAAAATTTTAGGAAAAAATTGTCAGATAATTGTTTATATAAAAAATACTATGCAATATACCAAAAAAAATCCTATGTACATTGCCGGATAATACAATTTTGAATATACAGTTAAATTTTTAGATCAATTGATGAAGATTTGTTCAAGTTATGTTTCCGACCAGTTCAAAAAATGTGGTTTCGAGAAAAACACGTTTAAAGTTTTTAATACTGTTGTTATGTCAACAACCTGAATGAAACTTTTCATGTCAAATACTTTAAACGTATTTATTTATTAGCTTTCTATGTCTGGTTTCTTTCAATAGGGCAAATACGCAGTGGCTGTAGACCTTTAGTTGGTTAAGGGCTTTGGTGTAAAATTATACAACTAACAACCTGTGGAAGTTGAGGAATGGAGTAAGAAAACAGCATGTATATAAGCTAGTCACTATATAAGCTAGTATTATTAGTTTACTCATCCCATTCTATAATAAAAATAACAGAACTGAAATTGGAATACTGAGTGTTGAATGTGAATAAAAAAAACATTGCTGTTCAAAATAAATATTACAAATTAAAAATAAATAATCTAAATTAAACAGCAGTTAGAAATAAAATATTTAAATTTAAAAAATAAATTTCTTAAAATATAACTAGTTTTTTGTATTTCTCTTAATATTTTGCTAAATTTATAAGAACTTACAACTATTATTCATTAAATAATATCATTTGTTATATAGTTTAAGCCTTCCTGAAGAAAGCTTAAGGCAAGATAAGCTTAGATTTCATGATCGATGTGGTTCTCTTGTAAAATTATCTAATGGCAGTCGAAGTGCTGAAAGACGACGTCCTTTAGATGAATTTAATAATGGAGTAGTTATGACACATCGTCCTCTTCGTGATTCAGAGCTCTTTGAAATACGCATAGATCGTCTTGTAGATAAGTGGAGTGGAAGTATAGAGGTAAATATTTTGACTGACAAAACTAATTAATATTGAGAATAGTGTTTAATGAAATTTATTATAGACATATGTATATTCCATATTTATTATAGATATTAGTTAGCAAGAGAAAACAATTGTTTAGTTTTTTATTCAATGGGTTTTCAGTAGATAGAAAAGTCACCTGGATATTAATGTAAAGTTCTCTATTCTTTTACCATCTATATATGGTATTCAAAAACCATGAGCAAAAATTGAGACAGCTCACCATGATACTTCAAAAAATTCATATTAATGAATATACACGATTGCAGTTATTTTTTAAAAGTACGGTAGAACCTCGCTAATCCGTCCCCTACGGGACCGGCAGCATGGTCGAAACACAAAAAGGGTCGGATTATCAGAGACACACTTTTATTGATTTGTAACATCACAGTACATATAAAACAAATGTGTGCGCAACTTATTGATCGGGTTAAAAACAAGTTATTTTGTAATAAAGCTTATCAAACTATGTACCTCATCTATCAATGGGCCTACTGATCAGTCATGTGAGGACCGGACTCTAGCGGCGGCTCGTGTAGGTAAGTAGGTGAACAAACACCGAAAATGGTCGGGACTAAGAGGAGAGTTGGACCATCCAATTAGCGAAGTTCTACTGTAATATTTTGCTATAATTTATATCAATTAATTTTTTTTTTAATAGTAATATAAAATAAAGGATACATACAATTCTACAATCTTAAACAGCTTAAAGAGTATTTATTGACTGAATAATTAATTATAACTTTTTTTACTTTAGTTTTTCGAGGAGCTAACATTAGAAACCATTAAAAAAATTATAAAAGTGTTCTCTTGTTCCAAGTGGATAACGTTGGCCATTTTCAAGAAAGATGAATTTAATCTTTGAGACACTTAAAAACAGTTAAAATTTACTGTTCACTATAAGCATTAAAATCTAGCAAATCATCTTTAATCACATTCTTTATAATAAATTGTGAAGTTGAAAAAAATTATCTATTTTCCAGTACATATAAACAAAACCAAATTAAATTAACATTAAATGTGTTTTTTTTTGTGTAAATAATGTTCTTGACTTGGAATAACAACTCATTTGTATGATGTTTAATTAAAAAAAAAAACAATAAATATGATTAATTGTATAGTCATCAGTAAGGACCATTTAAACTCTTTAGAGCTTTTAGGATTTTAGTTTTTTTTTATAGGTGTAGTTTATTGTTACTGGTAATAAGTTTATTCATTTTTTAAATTAATTTGAGTTAACTTGATATTAGGTCTGGGAAAATGGATGTGACGTTTTCGACAATGTTTCACCATTTTTCATGTAGAACCATGATACCATCAGTGAAGAAGTGGTTTTCACAGGCTTCTTTTGAAGCCAGTTTAATTCCATTGAGAGAGTTCTGCAGATATCAGAATAAGTGATAGTTAGTGGGTGCTATGTCTGGACTATATGGTGGATGCATCAAAACGTCCCAACAAGCTGTCGCAATTTTTGAGGAGTTATCAAAGAAACGTGTGGTCAGGCATTGGTGTGATGAAAGACTATACCTTTTCTGTTATTCACTTCAGTCCGTTTTCTTTCAATTGCTCGGCGTAATTTCTCCAGTTGTTCAGAGTAAAGTAGAGAATCAATCGATTGATTGGAAGTTGCTCATTGTGGATGATTACCTTCCAGTTCCACCACATACACAGCTTTACTTCTTCGTGAATCCTGCCTGAACAAAGCCTTGTGAGGGCTCACCATCCTTCTCCATGATCTTTGACGCTTCTGATTGACTGTCATACATGACCCATTTTTCATCACTGGTTAAGACATGTTTCAGAAATTGATTGATTGATTTCATTGTTTCAACAGGGTATTGCAGATATTAATTCCGTCTAACATGTTTTTTTTTGCTCAACTCATGAGGAACTCGTACATTGAGTTACTTTTTGTAGCCAGCTTTGTGTAAATAGTTCAAAACAGTTTTGTGGTAAATGCCTAGCTTCATACCAATATCGACAATGCTGATATGCTTATTTTGCTGGACTGTTTCAAGAATTTTATTAGCTTTTTCACTGATTGGATGACCAGAGCGTGACTCATTTTTCACATCAAAATTACCAAAACGAAAGCAACAATTTCTGCACAGCAGATTTTGAAAAAGTACCTTCATTGTACACAGCACAAATTTTTTTACAAACCTGCGCAGCATTGTTCTTTTCGAAAAATAGAATATATTTTTAAAAAATAAATCTTAAATGGCACCTGGTAACCTTCTTAACTGTTGGACATTGTTATATAGGTCTTGAAAAATGTTTTCCCACAGTACCATGTATTCAATTGTACTGTTTTCAAGTAATTTAAAAATGTCCTGCACAAATTTGCTTTTTATAAGACAAACACTTGTTGCATGCAAACTAGTGATGGCTCGTGACATTGAGAATGGGTGAAGCATATTCATTGACTGTTTAAAAAGAAAATTTTCATATTTTCAAGGTCAAATGGCTTTAAATGAATCTGGAAATTTTTAGGTGCATTTGCAATGTTACCGAAAAGCTGACATTCTTGAGAAGGATTTTCATTTATACTTTATAAAAAATAGAAGCATTAGTTCGGTTCGTGGACTTCTACGAACATTAACGCACACAATATATGTTCCAAAGAAGCTTTGTGGTTGCGACTATGACAGCCTCGCGTGATGTTCCCAAAATTGTTAAATACCTCCTTATTCCATATACCCGACCAGACCCACAATTAAACATAGCATACAGAAAGTTTTTTAAAATAAACACTTCCAGACAACCATTTATATTCAGAATACCATTCATTCCGAAATTTCTGAACGTACACTTTGTCTTTTGATTTGCCCCTTTTTTCAACATCGAGAGAAGGCACAGGTCTCTCGCAATTTAAAAAATCTTTTTTATCCTCAATTTTCCATCTGAAAAATGGCGTTTCCAATAAAATACATACTGGATCATACATAGGAACCATTTCTATAATTATTGATACAAAACAAATATTAACAAAGAACCGTTATAATCGTTCACTGGGCGACATATCGTATAAACTGTTTAAAGGTAGGCGATAGGAGATAGCGATGCTGCTTCAATTTTCGCGTCACTCGTTCCCCCACACCGTAGTTTACTCACGTGTTGGCCGCCTCGTTGTCATGACAACCACCATAAAAAACGCTACGAACACAATACATTTTCAATATAACATTATACCTAAATTATAAAATTTATATAAAATTAAAAATAATTTTAAATTGCACAACCAAATGGAAATTTTAGGTGAAGCGGTTCATCACTTGCGTCACCTGGCAAGCCGCCACTGGTCCAAACACTTATATTCAAACATAAAATATATGTCTTGTAACATTGTTATATATTTTTAGATGGGTATAACTACTCACAATCCAAATACCTTGGTTTTTCCTGCTACTATGACTAATATGCGAAGTGGTACAATAATGATGTCTGGATGTGGTATACTAACAAATGGCAAGGGTACAAGAAGAGAATATGGGGATTTTAACTTGGATGAATTAGCTGAAGGTGATCGAGTTGGAATGATGAGAAAACCTGATGGAAATTTGCATTACTTCATTAATGGTTTAGATCAAGGCATTGCGGCTCAAAGAGTACCCACAACGGTGTGGGGTGTAATCGACTTATATGGAATGACTATAAAGGTTTGTAGATATTGTATATATTCTGTATACAGGGTAGGAAAGTACCGATGGTCTATCTGAAGTTACGTGAGAGCGATAAAGTAAGCCATAGAAATCCATGCGATAGAGAAGGATGGCTATAATGAAGGCCTCTCATAGTCACCGCCCGTTTCGCCCTTCCACAAATAAGATCCACTTCTTATTTGTGGAAGGGCGAAATGGGCGTTGACTATTAGACGCCTTCATTATAGCCATCCTTGTCTATCACATGGATTTCTATGGCTTACTTTATCGCTCTCACGTAACTTCTGATAGACCATCGGTACTTTCCTACACTGTATATACACATAATAACGGATGTCTGCAAAAGGTTGGGAAATCTCGAAGCTAGAGATGCTGGTAGTCAAAATAAGACGATTGAGCCAAATATGCCTTATGCAAATGTTGCTGGTTTGAGATACAGGGCGTTCAATGTTTCAATTTTAATTTGAAATTTCTCAAGAATTTTGAAAACTGTTTTAACTAATTTTGGTGTTTCTTGTATACGGCGTCAGTTATGCCCTATTTCCAAACAAATATATATTTATATTTATCAAAATAAATGGTATACATTTTTTTTTTTGCCTTTAGAATTACTGACATTGAGTATTCAAAATATGAACGAACGTCCTTCGTTTCATAAAAAAGTTACTCTTGTTCATTTTCGATATCTGCCTTGGTTATTGAGATAGTTGCATATACAAATTTCAATGCATTTCGTTTTTAAGCAATTTTTAATCCTTAAATTACACTAGTGCAACTTGACAGCTAGTGTATTAACTAAATTATTTACAGTTTTCTAAGTGTTTTTCAGAACTTATCCAAAAAAAATTTTTTTTGAATGTACAGGGGACACAAATAAAATACATATTGTAAAAAAAAAATTGAAAAGGGCATTTCGAAAATGATTTAAAAATTCACTTCTGCACGGCACTGGAAACTGGTCCACTGTAAAACCTGACCTTGAGCAAGGCAAAACATTAATGGACAAAAAATTGAAAGCATTTCTTTTCCAAGGAAAGAAATAAATAACATTTGATAACACCTATTTTATATCAACAAATTCAACTGCTTTTGTCGCTATTGTTATTATTAATTAATAAAATTTATTTGCGGTTTTAATTAATAAAATAATTTGACATGCCTGATGTTACAACAACTGTTCAAAATTTCGTCCACCGAAGTGTAAACACATTTGGGCCCGTCTTACCAAGTTTCTACGAACTAACACAAATGATGTCTTGCTTGACCATAAATTAAAACTATCTCCATCAACTCCAAGTTGCTATATACGTAAGCTATTTTTGATACTTGAAAAATGAATGTAAACACTATTCGGAATGATCTGGGGCCATGTGGAGAGAGAGCGCATTGAGTACAGCGCATAACGGGAATGACACTAGAGACTACAGGAGTCCAGTGATGTAAGGGTTGTAAATACTACAACTTCAATAATTTTTTTCTCAGGAACTATAAGGATTTTACAAACATTTTGTTTACAATATTGACTCCATTTTTCATAACGCATCTATTCCCAAATTTTTTTGGATATGTTATGAATCACCCTTTATATTGCATTGAAATCATCATGTACTAAATAAGATGTCTCTAGCTAGAACAATTTTAGAGTGATATTTCATAATGTTATTTTGCAGTACAGCATTTAGTGGAATATATTTCAGCAGAACTTCCTTTCATATATAGATAAGTTGATCTAAATTAATCCCAAAAGTCTGTAGTAGAGTGATGTTCTAACTTTCCGGAGCACCTTGTATATCAACATAGTCATTTTGAAAACCATATATAACTTTCCTACAGCCTTTTAAAATTATTTTTACAGACCGACACGGCAATCCCAAATTGCCACTCTTACGTCTTATTACTTCCAGCCGAAAGCGTTCTCAATCTTGCGCAGCTCTGCCTGAGTCAGAAACGTAAACTTGTTTGTGTTCAGTTTTTCACTAGAACATAATCCTGTCACATGGTTGAGGCACACAACATGCCTATAAGATCTTACAACATAAAGTATATGAAGGCCCACTGTGTAAATACTATCTTTTTTATCAGGTTTCTATTGTTGAAAGAGATGAACGAGAAGAACAAAATTTAATGACTAGGAAGAACACCAGAGACCAACAAATAGTTGTTTTAGATGCACAACCTCTGCCAGACTATTATGATCGTTTAACATTCCATCCAAATTGTGGTACACATGCCCAGGTGATTAACAATGGACGTACTGCCCATAGGCCAAACGCAGCTGATGATTTTAACAATGGGGTAGTACTCACCGCTCGACCATTAAAAACTGGCGAGTTATTTGAAGTCAGATTGGATAGAGTTGTTACAAAATGGGCCGGATCCATTGAAATTGGTGTAACCTCTCATAGTCCTGTGGATCTGGAATTTCCATTTACAATGACTAATGTTAGATCAGGTACTTGGATGATGACTGGTAGTGGAATAATGCACAATGGAACTATAGTGCTTGAACAGTATGGCGTCAATTTAGATCGTCTGCAAGTAGGTGATCGAGTTGGGGTGTTGCGAAAAGAAAATGGTTTGCTGCATTTTTTTGTTAATGGCATTGATCAAGGTAGTGCTGCTTCTAATGTACCTGAGAAAATATATGGAGTAATAGGTAATACAATCAATAGTACATTTTCTAGTAATTTGATAATATTCTTTAAATTACATAAACATTGAATGATCATTAAGGCTGACGTTTTATAGACCAGAAATCACTTTTTGTTAAGACTTTCTTTAATTTTGTGCATCGAGATCACAGAGAACATGTAAACATGAGAATATGTACTTTTCCTGTTTTATCCAGCAAATTTGTAAAGATACTAGATAATTGTGATTAATGCATGTGTTAATAGTTTTCTAAAAGCATTATACGGGGTGTGATTATGTTTACATTACCATACTCGATTTTCTGTATGTTCAACAGGCGTGCAAAATTCAGGAAACGTAAGGTAAACATACGAGGTAAAAAGAAGCTTTTTTTCTTATTTTGTAGTAAATGATACAGTGAAGAGATATTGTTCCTAACTTGCTTACATTTTCTAAAATGCTGGACAACAAGTTGCACATATAAACGCCCCTGCTAAAATGTGTCGAGTTGTTTTGTGATTGTGTCAAATGGCATTGAATGAAGATGATAAAGTATAATTGTTTTCGGAAGGCGAAGTGGGCAATAAAACGTTGGTGAGTTGAAATGTATACATTTATTTGATTTCAACTTATACCTGCTTTTGGCAGGTATAAGTGGATGGTAGCTGTCGGGCCAGCCCAAATTGTACTAAGAGGGACGTCTTTAGGAATGCATGTGCTCAATTATCTCTCAATGTAAATTACCAGGGTCGGCTGGGAAATTTTCCTCTAGTCAATGATAGTAAAAGCTTATTGTGTTTTATATAAAAAATTAGGTAGGAATGTTATAGCTGTTTTACATTGACAGTTTATTGATGAATAAATTGACGAAGTTCTTCATGAATTAATTCACGAATTTATTGGTAAACAGTGTGGTTTTACACTGCTACAGACTTTATCAAGTATTTCAACACATGAACCAGTTCTACCAACGAATCAAAGAAGCAAATAAATTTCAAAAATGTCACCTTTCACTCATAATTGTAGTGTTACAACAGTGGTACCGTTTTGATACATATTATATAAATATTAGTGTTTCTAAGTAACAAATCAGTAAAAACAATGCAAAACTAGTACGACGCCACACAATTATTTACATATTCCAATAACATAACTTCATTACTGATCTGAGGGTGGAAATCTGTTGGGTTGGTACTTCCGAACTTCACGAAGAAATTGACGAAAATTAGAACATGCTCTAATTCGTCAAGAACTTGATGAATAAATTCATGAAGTTATTTGACAGCAGATTTGGTGCATTACACTTGATGGAGATGGAGCATTCGCTTGAACAGCGATATGCCATTAAGTTTTGTGTGCGGTTGGGAAAGAATGCAACAGAAACATTACGGATGCTTCAAGGGGTCTTCAAGGACGACTGTATTTCAAGATCACAGTTCGGGAGATGGCACTAGGCGTTCAAGGAGGGCCGGGAGGATATCGCCGACGAACCATGTTCTGGACGCCCAACAACGGTCACAACCGATGAAAACGTGAATCGTGTGCGCAAAGTTTTGAGTTCCGACCGTTGATTGAGCATCCAGCAAATTGCTGACATCCTAAACAAGGATCTGCAAACGCGCAAGGTCTGCGCAAAGCTTGTGCCGAAAGTTTTGACGGAAGACCAGAAAGAATTTCGAGTTTCACGCTGTCAAGAATTGTTGGATTTGATTCAAAATGAGCCGGACTTTCTTAACTGTCGTAACCGGAGACGAATCCTGGATGTTCGAGACGACCCAGAATCGAAAAGGCAGAGCAGCGAGTGGCACACAAAATCATCCCCCCCGCCCCAAGAAAGCGCGAATTAGCAAGTCTCGTATCAAAACGATGCTCATTGTCTTTTTTGACGTTCGAGGAATCGTCCATTTTGAGTTTGTACCACAGGGAGAAACTGTCAACTCAGCCTTTTACCTGGAGGTGCTCAAGAGATTAAAACGCCGGGTCACGCACCTGACATTAAAAACAAGGTCAAGCTCCACCATGACTGCCCCCAGCCACACTGCCTTCAACGTTACCAACTTCCTGGCGCGGAGCAACACCCTGGTGGTACCGCAGTCCACTTACAGTCCCAACTTGGCTCCGTGCGACTTTTTTTTGTTTCCCCAACTGAAGAGAGAGCTGAAAGGAAGGCATTGGGACTCTGTGGAAAACATCTAAAAGCATGTTACAATGTTCCTAACAGCAATTCCCGTCGAGGAGTTTCAGGGTGCCTTCCAGGCATGGCAGACACGTCTCCGCAAGTATATTGATGCTGGGGGAGAGAATATTGAAGAATTTTAAGCATTTGTACCAGTACAATTAATAAATCTATTTTTCCCAGAAAATGCGCATTACTTTTATAATGGACCCTGTATATTAATTATAATGGGCAATATCTGACAATCCAAAATTTTTTCTCCATCCCAATTTGTGCTAATAATATTTTCAGTGTGTTTTATACAGTCTGCCCAGTTTTGCGGAGTAACTTTATTTAATGATTAAACTGGCAGTGGTATGGTGGTAGTCGTAGAACAGAATGACCCATTTTATAAATTAATTCATCAGTCGCATAGGGTATTTTTTGAGGCTTAAATTGCTGCACAATTTGTAAATGTTCACATTTAAAGGCATTCTGAGGAATGGGTATATTTTTAGTTTGTAGCCATTGTATGATTTCATCCTTGGTTGACTGGGAATTTGGAATTTTTTCCAGTCTTGAATGATATTTTGCATTATCCATGATAATGGATTCTGAAGTCTCGGTAATAATTGTTCTGCCATCCACTTTTCGAATAATTCTGAATTCATATTATCATGATAATCAGCACTTTTCTTTTTGGTTGAAAATATTTTCCATCTTTATTTCCAGCATGAACAATTATGTACCGTTTACCTTCTGAGCTATTTTTGTTTCGCACAGATTTGACATCATCGTCATGCCATATTTGCAATGTATTACTCCCATGTTGAAAAATTCATGTTTCATCAAGGAAAACTACATCTAAGCTATCACATGCAGCATTATTAATGTATTCTCCCAAAAAGTTAACCCTTTTCAATGCAATCTCTGGTCGTTCTATTAAAGCCCGTCTACCATTATCTTTAGAGAAATGGAAACCTAGATCTTTTAAAATTATACGTAAGGTTGTATTTGAGACATCTATAATTTGTCTGTTTAGTAGTTCTTGCCGTAGGTTTTCCCTTGTTGCAAATTGTTTATTTTCTATCATGGTATAAATAACTACGTATTGCAGATTTAAATTCATCAGGAAAATCTCATGTTTTGGAAACTTTTCTCTTTGTGGGACCTAATAAAAATAAAATAAAACCATTCTATTTATCACTTGTTATAATAGTAACATTTTATTACTCATAGTAAGTACTTACAGTTGTTTCACGTGGGCCTTCATGTCGTATTCTCGAAATTGTTCTGGGGCTTAATTTTGATACTTTAGCTGCACAATTAATAACAGAAATGTTTTCATTGGAATTCTCTTTGTTATTTTGGAAATACTCCAAAACATTTAACACAAGTTTCCTAATTTGATCGTTCAAAACTTCACGATGAGCCATTTTCAAATTTCATTAAAACTGTACCACAAACACACCACAACAGAAGAATCAACACATTCCAACTATTTCAAGTTCGGCTCTGTTCAACAGTCTGTTTTTGACAAGAAGTACATCTTATTGGCCATCCTTCTCTAGTGCAGATAATTTCTCTGTAACGTTAGTCGTACCTTATTAAGGGGCGTACCTGGATATGACTTAAGTATATCACATACAAGTGGAAAGGGTTCAGAGGTATATGTCGGGTTTCACCAATATTTTACTGCCTACTTCGCTTTCCGAAAACGATTCTATTATTCTTTATAAAAAATTTTTTATGTAGCATAAATAAAAACCCATAATTTACTAATTTCTCTAAAAGAAATAAAAAATGTCTTCATAACCTAATGATGTAGACAATACATTACATACTTTATAAAATTCTAGTATTATTCAATAAGTGGCATCGAGATTGCTCTTATCATCAATTGGAAAAATAAACAAGGTGCTGAAAACTTCAACTCAAAAGAAGTTGACTTCTATTTATTGGACAGCTCTCTTCGCCATAAAAATTGAAACTTCCTACTCTCCCTCCATAGTACTGTTATTTCTAATGAGATATTTGCTTAAAAAAATGTGTAGTGTTTTGCTACTAAATACTATTCTATAATGAATGTTAATCAAAACTGTACAAGAAATTTTGCTAATAACTCGTTATATTGAATATATTTCATTTTAAAAATTTGTATTCAGATATTCTGAAATAGACTATACAGGCTGTTACACTTCTCACTACAGGGATCTCGGAAATAGTAATAGATACGAAGTAACTTAAATGGGGGTAAAGTTGCATAATCAGGGGACCAACATAATGCCTTTAAAAAATCAAGGCTAATATGTTAGTTTTCGAAATATTTGAAAATACCGAAATTTTGGAAATTCGTTTTTGTTTCATTTCGGCCTTGTTTGAGGTGATATTGAAAAAAGAAGAACACTTTCTCATGGCCACTTTTTGCCCTCTATCGAATGGCATAATCAATTTTTATATGTAACGTTTTGTCTCTCCAGGACCATAATCAACTTCATTTTTTTGAAAACTAATCATGTTAGCCTTGATTTTTTAGAGAATTTATAACAGCCTGTATACAGAAATATTCGCTTCTCACTACAGGGATCTCGGAAACGGTAAGAGCTATGAAGTAGCTGAAATGGGGGCAAAGTTGCGTAATCAGGGGACCAACAATATGCCTCTAAAAAATCAAGGCTAACATGATTAATTTTCAAAATATTTGAAAAAAAACGAAATTTTGGAAATCCGTTTTTGTTTAATTTCAGCCTTGTTTGAGGAGATATTGAAAAACGAAGAACACTTTCTCATGACCACTTTTTGCCCTCTATCGAATGGCATAATCAATTTTTATATATAACGTTTCGTCACTCCAGGACCATCATCAACTTCATTTTTTTAAATACGACCCTAGATATTGTATTACATTTTTTGCAAGCCTTCACGACCCCCCAATACTGTACTGCCTCAGCCGAACCAGATTTCAAAAACTAATCATGTTGGCCTTGATTTTTTAGAGGCATAATGTTGGTCCCCTGATTATGCAATTTTGCCTCCATTTAAGCTAGTTTGTATCTCTTACCGTTTTTGAGATCCCTGTAGTGAGAAGCGAATTTGTAACAGCCTGTATATATATATATCGGGCGTTTCACGTCAACGGGCACAGTGGGCTGCCCAGAATAAAAATGCATCAATATTGATGTTCGACGTGTCAAAAGCTTCGTATTTAAAAACTCTATCGAATGCCGTCTGGTGATTTTATAAAAACATCATGGCGGTTCCAATATGGCGTCCGCAATCATGGAAAATTCTGTTTAATCAGCAATATTGATAGACAAGAAACATAAAAATACTGTATTGTAGACTGAATCACCATATCTATACGTTTTTGGGGTTGCTGATTTCGAATTTAATATTTGTTAAACCCCATCTGGTCACTGTTCGTCCCTAACCTTAAAAATACTTCAAATCGTTGAAATAAAGCGTTTCTACTATGAGTAACCACAGTCTAACCACCACAATTTATGTTTTCGGGATCGCTGAAACCAATTCTGATATCAATATAACTTCAACTAGTCAGAGTTCGTACCTAACCTCAAAAAAGTAGCGCAAATTGCTAAGATTACACTTTTCCACTTTTAGGAATGAAGTGTAACCAACATATCTTTATATTTTTGGGGTCACTGAATCGAATTCCTACATCCGTTTGAACCCAACTAGTCATTAGTCGTACCTAACCTCAAAAGCTATAATAGTTATAAAGTGCGACCACCATATTTTTATGTTTTTTTCCAAACGAGCATGTGATATGATGAAAGGTATGTTCCATATAAAAAGAACAAATCCTTTTTAGAAGTTCTGCATATTATACTAAAGAAAAGGTAATACAGACTTTATGTCTTAGCCATGATAACGGCCTCAACCCGATTAAACACAAAAAGCATATATTGTTTAACCTGTTGAATTTAAAAATATCGAAAGGACTGAAAGGACGGAATTAATTCTTATGTAAGCCTTAATCAATTCGGCAAATACTATTTCGAAATTTGTTTCAGTATGTGGATTCAGTCAATGAACTCAGAAATTAAAATGGTTTGATCAAAACCCTAATCAAAGTGTCAGTGCACCAGAGACTTTTTGAAAAATAGTAGCGTTTGAGTGATGCTATCCAATATTTCGTGTTTTTTATGTGTATCTTCAGGCGCCATATTGGAACTACCACGAGAGGGTTAGAGAAGTGATACGGCTTGGGGGTAACTTTTGTAAATAACAGATAAATCGGATATAATAATCAACTTTAATTTCTTTACCTGTAATAGATTATAAGCGATTTTGGTGATATTGTGATCAGACTTTATAACTCAACCAGAAAAAGTGTCATTTTAGTGATTTGGAATATTTTTTGAGGTTAGGTACGACTATTAACTATACTCCGCGGTCGAAATTATAGAGAGTGACTAAGACATAATATAAAAACACTATTACCATAATGCGTATAAAATATAAAATGATTTTTATACGGTTCAATATTATTTATCTTTGTGCCGCTCGCTACGCACATCGATAGAATCTATAATCGTCTATAGACTGAGTTACACTGAACGTCGATCTATATTCTATCTCTGTCTTTTGCACTTGGTAGGGAATAGGGAAATGCTTTTTTAGTGGGTGTAAACGGACTTGATTTAACCCGTCCTGAGAAACGTCATAGCATAAGCGTAGACGAGGGGTCTAATTCCATGGCTATAATAAATTTATAAATTAAAAAAAACACAACTGGGACGTTTTAAAATGCTGTAATAATTGAAATGAATCAGTGCCGGTTATAGCAAACCGTAAAAAAATATTAGATGTTATGTTTTATTATCTTTTTTCAATATTTTCTATATCTTGTTGCCTTTTACGCAGACACGCCAATGGATTTTCGTTCCCGGCACGCTTCATCCCCCTTACTAGTCCAAAAGCTAGCGATGAGTCACTCTCTATAATTTCGACCGCGGAGTATAGTCATTAGTCGTACCTAACCTCAAAAAATATTCCAAATCACTAAAATGACACTTTTTCTGGTTGAGTTATAAAGTCTGATCACAATATCACCAAAATCGCTTATAATCTATTACAGGTAAAGAAATTAAAGTTGATTATTATATCCGATTTATCTGTTATTTACAAAAGTTACCCCCAAGCCGTATCACTTCTCTAACCCTCTCGTGGTAGTTCCAATATGGCGCCTGAAGATACACATAAAAAACACGAAATATTGGATAGCATCACTCAAACGCTACTATTTTTCAAAAAGTCTCTGGTGCGCTGACACTTTGATTAGGGTTTTGATCAAACCATTTTAATTTCTGAGTTCATTGACTGAATCCACATACTGAAACAAATTTCGAAATAGTATTTGCCGAATTGATTAAGGCTTACATAAGAATTAATTCCGTCCTTTCAGTCCTTTCGATATTTTTAAATTCAACAGGTTAAACAATATATGCTTTTTGTGTTTAATCGGGTTGAGGCCGTTATCATGGCTAAGACATAAAGTCTGTAATACCTTTTCTTTAGTATAATATGCAGAACTTCTAAAAAGGATTTGTTCTTTTTATATGGAACATACCTTTCATCATATCACATGCTCGTTTGGAAAAAAACATAAAAATATGGTGGTCGCACTTTATAACTATTATAGCTTTTGAGGTTAGGTACGACTAATGACTAGTTGGGTTCAAACGGATGTAGGAATTCGATTCAGTGACCCCAAAAATATAAAGATATGTTGGTTACACTTCATTCCTAAACGTAGAAAAGTGTAATCTTAGCAATTTGCGCTACTTTTTTGAGGTTAGGCACGAACTCTGACTAGTTGAAGTTATATTGATATCAGAATTGGTTTCAGCGATCCCGAAAACATAAATTGTGGTGGTTAGACTGTGTTACTCATCGTAGAAACGCATTATTTCAACGATTTGAAGTATTTTTAAGGTTAGGGACGAACAGTGACCAGATGGGGTTTAATGAATATTGAATTCGAAATCAGCAACCCCAAAAACGTATAGATATGGTGATTCAGTCTACAATACAGTATTTTTATGTTTCTTATCTATCAATAATGCTCATTAAACAGAATTTTCCATGATTGCGGACGCCATATTGGAACCGCCATGATGTTTTTTTAAAATCACCAGACGGCATTCGATAGAGTTTGTAAATACGAAGCTTTTGACACGTCGAACGTCAATATTGATGCATTTTTATTCTGGGCAGCCCACTATGCCCTTTGACGTGAAACGCCCGATATATATATATATATATATTGTTTACAGAAAATTTCTTATTTAAGCAACTCAGTTTATTTGCAGTCCATACGATAGTTGTTGAGATAGAATTGCAAGAAGATCCCTGCGTCTCTTTCTTGGAATTAATCGCATTCGACATCTGAGGTAGAAAAACATTGGCACCGTAGCGTTCACTGTAGAAGTTTGCAGTGCATACTATATTTTGCAGTTACTAAGGCGTGTTTCTTTGGTTCTTTTCTTGGGATTTTATCTTAACAAATATCGTACAGACTGTAATATGTGTTTTATTTTGAGAAAGCATATTATGTTTCCTGACTATTATGATAAGTGACCGAACTATTATGACAACTCAGCTGAATTACATTATTTCATTTTATAATTTGCTGATTACTTAACTAAAATGAGATTGTTAATTTATGTAATTCGAAAGTGTTTTTTTCATATAGTTAAAGTAATTTTGCCAAAATAATTCATCCTTTCTGCAGGTTTGATAATTTAATATTTAAAGAATTATAAGCTTCTAATGGAAAATGTTTTGCAACAGAATTACTAAGGGCTTATACCATAGTTGCGTTTTTCAAATTAGTGTTCCTATTTAACATGCAATGCATTGAAAAATCACTTTTAATCTAAAAAACCATTGGGATTAGTTTTCATCATTTTTGGGCCTATTGAATAATAAAATAGGTTAGTTTATATTGGTTCTACAAGTAAGGTGTAATTAATGCCTCTATTTAATGTACAAAATAAATACTATTTTTGAAATTGTTGAAATATTGAGCTTGACTGACGAAATGGTTTTCGAAATATCTCCTCACTGTTTTTTTAAACTTTGATACCTTGTAAATGGAAAACAAGCGACATTTGGTTATGTTCCATTCTCAATGAAACACTATATTTCTGTTTTTAGATTTATACGGCCAAGCAGTGGAAGCTACAATTATCGACATGTATGACTATGGCTCCCCTGATACCATGAATTCTAGTATATCAAATACAACACTGTATAGGTAAGTAAAAGTGAACATTGAAGAAAGTCTTATATGTTTTTATTATACAAGTAATCAAAATTAGGCAGCAGTTTTTTAGAGGCGTACCTCCCTTCTGAAAATAAAACAGAGGGTATTTAATTTTTCACTAAAATAAATATTGCAGCTTGTTAGTTAAAATGTAAATAAAAAAGCTCTACTAAGTTTTTTCATTCACACCGCCATTAAAACGTCAAGAATTTTAACGTTTGGAAATTTGATCAGTTCATTTAATTTTTTATAGCATTTTAAAGAAAAAAAAGGCTTTTTACAGTTTATTTGGAAACAAGTCATTGTTCAGTTGTTTTCTAATCTAATATAAGCTTATCACAGTATTGAGCAAATTGGTCATTACCACAGGCGCACATATAACACAAATTGAAAATTTTTGGACAAAAGTTCAAAGTTCACAGTATTCAAAGTGCTTGCAGTATTTGACGTGTTCCCAAATTTAGTGTTTGTGTTCTGTTCGTTAGGTTTAGACATAGACATTGGTGTCACAGTGACAAGTAGCATATTTGCTCTCATACTTCACTTTAGTGAGAAGGAAATAAAAATAAATGTGGGTGAGGTGCCTCTTTTTCCAACCTCATATTTTTTAATTTTATTGTAAGGTAATTCATGTTCTCAAAATACGGGACTTTTAGCGTCCTGTATGAACTAACAACTAGCTAATCTAACCTAACTAATCAGCCTTAGAATCAGACTAACCAGACTTAAAATCACTCATTCTTTATGTTAAAGTTAATCTTTTTCAAGAATCAGTGAGATCTCTTTAAACTTTTAACATAAATTGAAAAAACCTTCATGTAACTAACTATGCAAATAAACTTTGAAAATTAACGAAAATCTCTCTTTAAGAGTAAGAAAGTTTTCAAAGCAATTGAAATCTGTTAATAAATATGCAAACTATCTCGTGTAAAAATATCAGATCGATTGCCAATGTAGTTTTTTTGAAAAATGATATTAAAAATTATGCTCTTATACACAGGCTCTTATGGGAGTTGGGGCAAAAACTTTAATCAAACGTGAATATTGCTCTTAAAAATGGTTAGGATCGGGAAAATAAAATTGTAATTAAAGAATTAAATATTACTAAACATTTTAAAACAATAAAAATATGCACTTACAATGTAATTATTGAGATAATGGGATGAACATATAACGTTTTGACAAATTTGAACAAACATCTGATCCAATGAAAGGAAATATAGCAACACTGTACGCTGTATTTAACGCTTCGACTGACGCGCTATATTTGAATAGCTCGATTATAAACTATAAAATTATTCCAGTCGAAAACATATGTAGTAATAATTAATTTTAAATACATTTTTCGTGATCTAATGCAATATAATAGCAATTTGAAACAAAAATTGAAAGGATCTCTTTGCAAAAGGAACAGTATAGATGTTCTGTCATAATCTTAAATTTGACAAGGCGACTTCTCACTATCATACACTGAGCTTCTCGATAGTTATCATATGGATTCTCGGTTTGCACATTTTACTTTTTTCTCATCAACCCACATTCTGTTTCATACGTATTTTATATTACTTTTCAGTCATTACTTTTCCTTTGTACCTTGGATGTTCATTCATGTTTACGGAATAAGCGCAAAGTTGACAGTAATGACAGTTGAACCAACTTTTACTACCACGCCATAACAATGTTGCCAGATTTCATCCATAATTTTACAAGCTCTTAATGAATAAATAGACACTTTTATTCAAATAAAAAATTAATTGCCGTGCATTAAACACGAAAAATATATGCAAGCTAATATGTGTTGTATAAATTTCATTCGTATATATTATATTTAGTTCACTCAAATTAACGAAACTACCGTGTATAAGCATAGGCTTCCCTCCCGCACCGCCTGCCCCGTAAGTGATGTATCGAACATCCTTAATATCGACTAAATAGACTACTTTCATGTAACAACCAAGTAGGTAGTAAAGTAAGTTAGCAAAAAGTATCTAAAAATAATATTAATCAGTCACATTTCTCTTAAATATAAAGAAAACTAATCTAATTCAATAAAAAATACAAAAATGAAGTATGTATATCACCAAGTAACCCAATAAGAATTTGCTTGCCTATCATTTTAGTTCAAAATACAAGAAGTTTTATTCCAAGCAAGTATCGCAAGCCCGCTGAGTTAGTTTGTGCTGCTTGCTTGGAATAAAACTTTTTGTACTTTATGTTAAAATGATAGGTAAGCAATTTGTTGTTTTACTTCACGAAGTCCATTTTGCAACTTTTTTAAAATGATGTCAATCCCGAAAATCTTGGGATCAGAAAAACTTAATCCCGTCAATTTCGGGACTGAAAAGCGGTCGGAATCGGGGGATCAAAAAATCATTTAATCAGAATGGATTTGATTTAATTTAATGAATATATTCTGATTAGCTTTGTTGGCATGGCTTCCCATTTGGCATTCTAGTGAAATGTCCTAAAAGCAGTAGGATAATCTTCATAATTGTTCGAGGATAAACACTTTTTGTTTGAGATATATGATTGAAAGGGCTTTTTTGCATTAACTATTATGCAGTGTATTGTGTGAAATGTTAGAAGAATATTATTTTCCAAATCTATTGCACATAATCTCTACAAACTATTATGATTCTCAAATCTATTCTAGAATGAAAATTTTCTTTACGGACAACCAGCTTTTAAAAAAAATGTTTATCAATGTTAAATGTTATCATGGAAAAAAAGAGAAATTAAACAGGAATTGCAAGTGGTAGTGAAATATTTTTAATATAAAATTCTGCAATCTCTATGACAAACTTTGACAGATTGTAGCTTTTTTCAAACATTTTTTTCTTATACGAATATAGATCCGATTCATTTTTTGTTACAAGCATTTTAAAAAGTATAATTTCATATTTCAATCAAAGCAGCCTAATAAAAAAAATTATGGTTGCTATAACAATAATTATTATTTGCATCATTTTGTTTATTCATTTCACTCTTAGTGTTAAAGTGCTAAATAAAAAATGTATTTATATACAACTGAAAAGTATGCAGATATTGTCTTTATATATGGGTATTCCAATGGGAACGTCAGACAAGCAGCCCGAGAATACCAACAAAGATACTCAAATAGACATCATTTTGTAGACTTCGAGAAGAAGGTAACCCCGCTCCAAAAAAAGGTCATTCTTCCTACTAAAGTGATTGTACAAAATGAAGAAGATATAATATTTGTTTAGTTTGCAGTAGTGTTACCAACTGTGCATTGTTTAACATGTAAAATTTCTTGTATGTATCTTGTAAACAATTGTTTTTTATTCAAGCAATACATTGCAATGGATGAAAATTTAAAAGTAAATTGCTGTATAGCTTTAATAGTGGCTTCAACGGTATTACTAACAACAACTATGATCAACAGCCAACAACAGCTAGGTTGGTAATAAACAAATAATCATAAAAGTAACTAGAATCCATGCAATTTTGTTGAAGGAATAAAGCATGTTCTAATTCATGCAATTCAGTTGCCGCGACAGAATTGCATAGTCTGATGAGAAACATTTCATGGATTCTATCGCAGCAACCAAATCCCTGCAACAAAATTGCATTGTCTGATACAGGTTTTTGAGATTAGAATTTTGTCAAGGTTACTTCAACAACATGCACAAAATGATAGATTCATTTCGCTTCTCATGTGGTCCAATGAAGCGTGTTTTACTAGGGCATAAATAATAATCGTAATGAACATACCTGAGCGTTACAAAATCCGCATGCAATTAGATGAAGACGATTTCAGCAACGTTTCAGTGTCAATGTTTGGGTAGCATTTTCAACAATAATTTACTGCCTGATCATTTAAATGCAGATCTATATAGAACTTTCTTGGAAAACAACCTTACTGATTTCATTGATGACATAGGGCTTAATATTGTTCAAAATATGTGGTGGTACACCATCGTGCTAACACCACATATTTCTCCACATAGAGGGAGACAAGTAACTGCTTGGTTAAATGATCATTTCCCGAATAAATGGATAGGTCAACAAGGTCCAGTAGCATGGCCAATGTGTTCCCCAGATCTACATCCTTTGGACTTTTATTTATGGGGACATATGGAGCAGCTTATCTAACATGTTGAAATCACTACCCGTCAGCAGTTACTTGAAAGAATTTAGGATGCAGCTAACCAGATAAAAAATGATCCAAATCTCGTTCATAAAATGACGGAATCTATAGTTCGCCGATGTGTTGCCGAGGGTGGACATTTTGAACAATTTTTATAGTCTTAAGATTTGTTAATTTGATTAATAAAGGTTAACTAATGTTTGAACTTTAAACACAAATAATAATTATTGTTATAACAACCACTATTTTTTATTTGTCAGGCTACTTTGAAGTATGAAATTATATTTTTTAAAATGCTTGTAATTTCTAAATAAAAACGAATCATATAAGAAATAATGTTTGAAATTAACCAAACTACCATCTGTCAAAGTTTGTCATAAAGCTTGAAGAACACTGTATATACTTTTATATGGTTTTCAAACCTAGTTTGGAGGATTGTGCTATCCAGAATTGCTATGAAAATTGTTCATCAGTTGCGCAAAAATATAATTTAAAAAAAAAAGTTAAGATGGTTTAAAGTTGACTAAATTAGGCGTTAAATTTCTACCACCCTGCATGAAATTAAGTCATTTTGAAATTATGGCAGGGAAGCTTAGAGTTTTAGTTATGCCCCCTATAAATTTTATAGCTCTAACATTATTATTGTAAAATACACATCTTTTTGAATTAGGCAGTGCTTTTTTAATTTTTTTTGAAAAAATTAAATATAATCCAAAAATGGTTAATTTTAAGAATAGGAACCTTTATGAAAGTTCACCTAAAAATTGACGTAGAATCCAAAATTTCAATAATATACAAGGTGTTCCATTTAAAATAGCGAAGATGACGTCAACTTCCGGTATAACCGGAAGCGTAAGGTGGACACCATTATTTTAGTTGAGAAGTGCATGCCGGAGAACACTATTGCCCAAATTTTCAAAATAAAAATCGAAGTAGTCTCTGAAATATGTCTAAAGTCTCGTCACCGTGCACCGGCACCCTGTATGTACCTCTATATTATTTAAGCAATAAATCTAAAGTTCAGTTTATATTTAAGATATACTTTTGTTCGATAAATTTACAGATTTGCAGACTAATAAATTGCTTTATTATAGTGATTTAAGGTTTCACCATGTTCATGGGAAAAATGCTAGAATTGTCAATAATGGATTAACAGCTCTAAGGCCTAGACCATTGGCAGAATTTAATGACGCTATAGTGTTTTCAAATAGACCTTTAAGAGACGGTGAATTGTTTGAAATTTCTCTTGATAGTATTGTGGATAGATGGTCTGGAAGTATAGAATTAGGTGAGTGTTGTTATTTAGGATTTGCGGCCTATATATTTTGTTATATTATATTATGTTGTACATAATAATAATAATAATAATAATAATAATAATAATAATAATAATAGGCAAAATTTTAATCAGGGTNATAATAATACAGGATGATTTACAAATCTTTGTAAAAAAATTACTCTGTCCAATTAATTATTAACCTCTTAATTGTTCTTAATATGGTAATGCACTAGCATGTAAACTATATTTTTTATTAGTTTTCATATTTTTTACTCTATTTTAAAGGTATTAGACTAATTCAAATAAATCTGGAAATTGTTTCTAATATATCTTATAAAATTAAGTTAAAAAATGTTCTTTGACACCAGAAATTTAGGTTTCTTGATTTGTATACATGCCTTTTATAATATCCTACAAAAAATTGAAAATGATAAAGTCGAAAACTAAAATGTAACAGAACAAAACAGTGATGACGTATTTGGCCATTCCCATTTCACTGAATTAAGTTTGTTTTTAACGCAGTTACTTTCCCCTCATATCATACCAGGTGTGCCGATTTTTAAAACGAAGATATGGCATGTCAACAGAAGAGTGGACAGTAACCTCCGTTACCCCCCTTCGTAAGCATTCCGAACCTCGGATTCTGCTTAAATTCAAACTATTCACGGTTTAATTTTATTGCTATTTTATTAATTTTAGATTAATTTTATGTCTAGCACCGATTCGCTGCTGAAGTGACTGAATATGAAAAAAAAGTGGAAACATACCGTATTTCTTACGTGTCAATAGCTACTATATGTAGTGACAGTATTATAGTTGTTCACCTAAACTAGGTTAATGTGAGAGGTCATATACAGGCTGTCTACTATAAGAGGGCCATTTCTATGTATCTTGCTTAATACATGATGAACATCAAAAATCTTTATGTTTTTTGTTGCATTTTTTGAGGCCTTGATTCTTGTAAAAACAAATTTCAGATCCATGGCCAACTTTATGAGAAATCATAAAAAAAACGGAAAAATGCCGAAAGTTTAGGGCCGTCTAACTTTTTTATTTTAAGAGATAGAGAAAACTTGTTTTAATAAAATTTTATGGCAAAATTGATATCTCACCTGATGTAAACAAATTTTTGAAGTATTGTATGTAATTTGCTGCGCCCTCTACGCGGACAAAAAAAATTGTCATCGAAGCAGGCTGTGGATACAAAAAATTGCTTGTTTTTTCCTCTTTAAAGCAATGTACTACATTTTGGATTTATCTTTTATATTTATTACATTTTTATAATTTTGATATCAAATATGTAGATTAATTTATAGAAATTGTTTTAAAAAGGCCAACTACAAAAATTTTTATGAATATGATGTACTTTTTTGAAGCTAAGAATCTGCAATATCTGGTATCCATAAGTTTACCATCATAGAAGTAAGGTCCTATGATTTTGGTATCAAGAATTAACCCTAACCAAAACCTCTGTTGAAATGCAATTTCTCTGTGCCAATGTAAATTACCATTAGTCCATTTGAAGTAAATGTTCCTATTAACAAATCCATTGTTACAAATATTAGGTACATCTGACCAGAGAATTCTTCTGCATATGAAAGGATTTTTCTTCTTTCTTTCTTTCTTGTCGCCACCTACAGAATCCTAATCTCCTCAGTTTATCTTCCTCCTTCAAGCTCAAGAGGTGGAATTTTTTCACCTTATAACATTTGAAACCATTTTTTCGTAATATCTTTCTTGCACTATCCTTCTCTAAATTGTAGTTCACTTCAATCTCTCACTGTTTTGCTCATTTTTCCTATTTACATAATTTAAAATTCTGTTAACATTACCCTATTTTATTAACAACAGCTGATTTTATTAGCAAAGGTTTTCTACATTCGGCAAGTGCTTGAATAGAATTGAAATTGCATTGATATAAACATAATACACTTCTCAATATGCGAAAATATTATTATTATTATTCAAAATTTGAGTTTTTCAAATCACAGTTAACTGTAACAATTTCCAAACCAACAGTTATGATATTACTGGGATAACACATTTGTTTTCTTAGCGTGCTACATTTAGCGTAAGCTACTTTGTCTGTGCAAGAACAATGTTGAAATCTCAGTTTTCTCTAAAGTAAAAAACCAATATTATAATAATGTGTGTATTTTGCTTAAAAGTAGGACATTATATTTATTACATTTTTTGTAGTTGACTACAACAATTTCTACGTTAACACGAAAATGTTTACATTTTTTATACCACAATTATAAAAATTGTAATAAATATAAAAGATACAGGCAACATGTAGTATATTGCATGAAAGAGAAAAAAACAAACAATTTTTTGTAGCCACGACCTGCTTCGATGACAATTTTTTTTTGCCCACGTAGAAGGCGCAGCAAATTACATACGAAATTTTATTAAAATAAGTTTTCTCTATCTCTTAAAATAAAAAAGTTAGATGACCCTATACTTTCGGTATTTTTCCGATTTTTTTATGATTACTCACAAAGTTGGCCATGGATCTCAAATTTGTTTTTACGAGCATAAAGGCCTCAAAAAATGCAACAAAAAACATATAAAGATTTTTGACGTGCGTCGTATATTAAGCGAGATTGATAGGAGGGGCCCTCTTATAGTAGACAGCCTGTATAGTAATTTTAAAATAACATGTCTCTAAGTTATACAAAAACAATTTGTTTTACTAAATTATTTTCCATAACTTCGCATAATGACTGGCAGTGCTGATAGTGCACTAATATGCAAATTCCGGGTGCCTTGGTTTATGTTATCCAGTGGTGGCGTACATAAGAATTAAATGCAGTTTAAAACTAATTATAACTCAACTATTTATTTGATTAAAAAAAAAAGAATTTCAGATTCGCATTCAGGGGAATACATACTATTATCCCTAAAAAACTGATATCCACCTAGAGTTACCACCATCATTGCTTGTATTATTTTAATTTTTATTTTATTGATGCAGGAGTTACTGCAGTTCGTCCTGATGATATAGAGTTGCCAAGTACTGCTACAGACTTGTGTCGCGATACTTGGATGTTAAGTGGATCATCGGTAATGATAAATGGAAAAACCATTAAAAATAACTATCCATGTGACTTGGACACACTTACAGCTGGCATAAGGTTAGGAGTTATGATATCAGCTGACAAATCCTTAGAATTCTATAAAGATGGAGTTCCACAGGGTGTTGCATGCGTAGTTCCACATAACAATATATATGCAGTAGTAGATTTATATGGACAGTGTTCACAAGTTAGCATACCTTGCAGTTCACCACTAGCGCCTCTTGCTTCAACAGGTAAGCAAATATTAAAATAGTTAAAAAATATGACGTGCAAAAATAGATATTATGGAATAGGTTTATTATTTCCAAAATGATGAAGTTTCGAGGTATTTCTTCAACCAAGTCAATTCTGCATTTCTAAAATCATTTTTTTAAGTACCCTACCTCTTCGTAATACAATTGCTTGCCAGTGATGACATCATCATAGTTTTTTTTAATAAAACTATAATATTTGGCCAGATGCTTGTAGAACATAACTTTTTCAATTCAGAACCGTATTATATATTCATCGTTAACAGAAATTAAAAGTGAGAACACCAAATTTTGATATTCTGGCCACCTTCCTAATAAAATAAATATTTCTTTTATTTCATTAACATATTCTATACAGGGTGTTTACAAACTTGAACTGAACTTTTTAATGAGAGCAGACTCCATTAATAAAAAGCATTTTTAATAATTAAAACTATTACATCTGCAAAACGGTGCTTAAAATTAATAATAATCAAAATTGTTAAAACTTTTCTGGAATTGTTCCCAATACTACATGAAAAGAAATTAATACCTGTTACCACAAATGAAGTTTCTCGTGATTTTTATAGTAAACAAACTGTTACTTTAATTTTAAATAAACAATCTCCAAGTTTGTAAACAATCTGTATAATATCAAAGAAAGACTATAATTTCCAATATACGTTTCAATAAGATTAAACCTTTTGATATAAAATTTAAATTAATTCTATAGACATCCGAACAGTGGCGGCTTAAAGGGGGGGGGGGGGGTCCGGACGGTCCGTCCCCGGTGCCAAGGGGTGGACAACTCACTCGCGCTGCTTAGTTAGTAGACAATTAAAACTTCCTTGCGAGAAACTTGTATCAACACTCGAAGAGATGTGTGATCCCAGCAGCAGCAGAGAAAAGTCGATACAAGAGAAGCAGCAACCGCAGTTTTACCAGCTTTGTGTGACTTCAGTTTTTTATGTTATTTTTCTTTTTGGTGTGAAGTCCTAGAAGAAGTTAACCAGACACAAAAGTATATACAAACATTTGGGCTATCGCTGGAAAAGTATGAGATAAAAATCAAAGTCCTAAAAATTTTTCTTCAAAGCCAACGTATCCAAATAGTGGAAAGAGCTATTTCCTACGCAAATGAAAAATATGGGAACTTGGATATTTTAATTGAAAGAAGAGGAAGAAAGGAGATTACAAAAACGTATGCCAGGGGAAATGGCCTAAGACGCTGTACTAACATTGCCAGAAGAGCTGCAGAGAGCTATGTTAGAATGTTTTGATAGATTTTACGAAGAATTAGACCATCGTTATAGGGCAATGGATGACATTTTCATAACGTTTGGTGTTGTTCAGCCTAAAACTATGCTTACGTCAACAGAAGAAGAACTTTGTGGTATAGTTCCAAATCTGACAAAATTTTCTGCAGAGGACATAATTTTGGAAATTTTATGACTGAGGCGCCACTTGGAAGCCGCTAGCATTTCCTTCCAAGAAGCGGTCCAGTGAACTACCTTGGAGCTTCTGAGATTCATTGTAAAATGAGTTTGTTCCGAGTCTAGCGCTGTGTTAAGATTTTTTTAGCTATTTGTGTTTCGGTAGCTTCGTGTGAATGAAGATTTTCAAAATTAAACTTGATAAAACATAAGCACGTTTAGTATTTGTTGTTTTATTTTGAGAATGCTCAATAAAATCGCCCCAGGTGCCAACCCATGCTACGCCGCCACTGCATCCGAACCATAATCAACAAAATAAAAACTAATAACACTCGTGCAGATAATATTTCTATCAAAGATTTGAAATTGCGTGTACTATTTTGTTTAAAATCTTTAGTTAATATAATAAACACATGTCTCATAGAAAGAAGTCTTATTTCTGGCATAATGGAAAATAGCAAAATTGTAAAACTGTTTGTAAAGCCTAAGATCATCTTTAATATCATACAGGCAGTTTCAAAAATCTTAGAAAGGTATCGAGGGGCGATCCGCTAAGGAAAAAACGTACGAAGATTACAAAATTTCTGAAATCTCTTGTAATGTATCTGCAGATTTCAATATCAATTAAAAAAAGATTACAAATTTCATATAAAAAATCAAGATTACAATATCTTTCAACAGATTACAAAACATTTCGGGAGATTTCAGAGTTATTTTAGTAGATTTCAATGATTATTTAAGATTTCAATAGGATTATTAGAAATTAAAAGAAGATTTCAAAATTTCTTAATAAGGTTTCAAGGATTACGGGAATATGACAATAAGTTTTGAATGTCCATTTGAATAAAATAATTGAATTAACTTCAACTGTCATTCATTTCATTCATTAACAGTAGTACTTTGATTACGAATTTCCAGTATCATTTTTACGCAAAAATTGTAACATTCTGATAAGTTTTTGTTCGAATGAACGTTAAAAACTTTTTGTCATGACAAAAACGATAACGCCATTTTGAAAGTAGGTAAGTATATATTTTTATTGAAAGATAAAAATATAATAATCCAATAAACTAATAAAAATAAAAAAATAGAATTATCATAAAATAAACATTTTCCCAAACAATAAATAATAAGAAATATATTAAGCTTTTATTAACACTTGTATTTAATACTTTACCTGTATACAGCGTATTTAAAAAAGACGCGGCAATATTTAAGCGGGTGATTGCCCAGGTCATTTTATAAAAAAAAGTTCCTATAAACATACGTCCGCAAACGCTTCGTTACCGATCTACAGTGTTGAAATTTCATTAAAAAAACAGTAAAAATTAAATTTCTCCAAAACTGCTTGAGATATTATAATAAAATTTTAGGCCTGTCATTAGCTATGTCAGACACGTACTTTGCAATACAAAACGATTTTTTAGTCTTACCAGTGACGCGCGTATTGGCACTTCACTAGCTATTTTTAAAGAAAAAAATAGGACGCCGCTGGTTTTTCTGAAAATAAAATTTTTTAATTCTTTGTTCAATTGTGAAGAAGAAGCTTTCCTCAGATTATACGCACCGTACGACGTACCGTAAAAAAATAAAACGTTTTATTGCGCACCTAAAACCAGTGTTTTAATTTAGAAATTCAAATTCAATAATAATTTGAATTGTTCAATAACAAAGAAATTCAAATTATCAAATTTGATTGATTTTTTGAAATGTGGTACTGTTGTTTATTATAGATTAAAGGGGCTGCGTTTTGGAGAAATTTAATTTTTACTGTTTTTTTTTTTAATGAAATTTTACATTCTGTAGATCGGTAACGAAGCGTTTGCAGACCTATGTTTATAGGACCTTTTTTTATAAAATGACCTGGGCAATCACTCCCTTAAATATTGCCGCGTCTTTTTTAAACACGCTGTATACAAGTAAACTATTAAATGCAAGTATTAATAAAAGCTTAATACATTTTTTATTATTTAGTTTTTGGGAAAATATTTACCTACTTTCAAAATAGCATTATCATTTTTGTCATGACAAAATGTTTTTAACGTTCATTCGAACAAAAAACTTAATCAGAATGTTACAATTTTTGCCCAAAAAATGCCTGATACTGGAAATTCTTAATCAAAGTACTACTGTTAATGAATGAAATGAATGACATTTGAAGTTAATTCAATTATTTTTGTTCAAATGGACATTCAAAACTTATTGTAATCTTCCCGTATTCCTTGAAACCTTATTAAGAAATTTTGAAATCTTCTTTTAATTTCTAATAATCCTATTGAAATCTTAAATAATCATTGAAATCTACTAAAATAACTGAAATCTCCTGAAATGTTTTGTAATCTGTTGAAAGATATTGTAATATTGTTTATTTATATGAAATTTGTAATCTTTTTTGAATTGATATTGAAATCTTAGATACATTACAAGATATTTCAGAAATTTTGTAATCTTCGTATGTTTTTTCCTTAGCGGATTGCCCTTCGGAACACACCAATCACACTATATAGGTTTCTGTCTAGGTTTTTGTGGCATCCTTTGGAAATTGAGGTAGGGGGGGCGTTGTATAACGACTACATCGACGAAATTGGTTAGCTGATTACACAGATTACAGCGAGGATTACAGATAAATTTTGTATTTAAAATACAAAATAAATTTTTGTGTTGCAATAACACAATTGGGATTTCGCAAAAACTATAGTACTTGCATTACATTATTTATTACAGTGCATCCCAGAAGTAATGCAAAAAATTTGTATTTTATTTTGTGTTGCGTTTTCATAAGAATGCTAAAACACGTCAATGTATTCAACCAAAATTATTTGTTCCCATGTAGATAATAGCAAGAGCACCTGCCTAGTATTATTAGATATTAGTAAGGTCTTCGATATTTTAGACTATTCATTATTATTATAAAAATAAAGCCACCCAGTTCTGTAGGTATAACTGTCCAAAATACATCTCTTTAAAGAATAGTGTCTGCAGATATTAGCACAGCTATAGAATATCCTACCTTACAGCAATAAGCTGACAACGTTTAAGTACATATTTATTGTGATTTCTCCAAACAACATAGTTGCTTATATTATTACTCTTTAGATCACAGTGTAAAAATTAATTCATCAAATGCACTTCTTATCAGTAGTAAAAAATTAGTATGTGTTGAGAGATTTCTCAGATAAATAAGGAAGTGATTCCTGAAGTTAAGATGTAAAAAGTTTTAGTGCCACAGTAGATTCTTGACTGAACAAGCTCAGGTAGCAAATAAATTTCATACATTTTACAATATATACTTACTTCTCATACAAAAAAAAATTACATAATTTGTTTGTGTACAGTACAGTAATAGTATGTAAATATTTTTCCTTAGGGCGGCAAGCAAATTTTTGCATCAAGTGCCAAATATCCTGGCCTGTCCTGACTAGGGATAATTATTTGTTTATCAATAGAAACATAAACCAATCCACCGGTGTGAAAACAGCAGCCAAATCTAGCAGCTAAAGTTTCCGAATATACCCGAATACCTAACCCATTGGCGTAGAAGAGGGGTCATCATAATTAACTATTTCTAAC